TGGCAGTCAGTCAACAATTCCATACAATTCCATATATATATATATATGCATTAGAGATTCATTAGGGTATTTAACTCTGCACAACCCGCTGCTAACCTGGAAACCAGCTTGACCCATCTTGACCCTCCTGACGGGTAGTTCTCGAGAAATGCGACTCATCAGCTTCCATGTCTCTCCATGCCTTGTTGGTTGATCCCACTATTTGACTGGTGGCACTTAGATCTCCACTGTTTCTTGCTTGTGGCGTCCCAGTGTTGCTTGTTTTCTTCCTTTTAATCGCCAAAGCCACCCATGTTTGTTGGGTTGAACTCACATTGGTGTACATCACAACGAGGTCTTACAAGAATTGCCTCAAAGGAACTGCATTGGGATGGGCATAAGTTTCCTCATGGTTTTTCCCTCAAACACCAACCTGGCCATGGCCAACTCCTCCCCTGTGTTTGCTAGTCATTTTTTTTGGTTCAATCAAAAAAACACTTCTTCCAGACATTTCCAGGCATCCAACTTTCCAATTTCAGTTCCTCAACCTGCCATGACCCGACCCAACGGGAAAAAACCTCTGAGGCACTTCAAGGGACCCACGGAAGTAGCCTGGAAAGGCTTAGCCAAGGCACGCTGGGGGATGGTTGAGCGACCAACTGGCTGGATAGGAACTACAGGGCGGCTTAATCTTTTGCTACTGACAGGGAGATGAATGTGTACATATATATATATATAAACATTATAAACAATATGTATGTGTGTATATATAGTGTGCATATATATATATACATACATATATATACATATATATATACACTACATATGGATTTAATGCACTAGCGCTTAAGCACTAACCAGCATACAAAAACGCATATTTGCAAATATATGCAGGGTATCGAAGATTGGCAATGCTTGGGAAGCGAGATGAAACACCAGAAGGTGGAAGGAGTTGGCCCAGGTAAATATTTTATATGAAAACTTCATCAATGGAACCAAGAGCTAAACTACCAAAATTGATGACTTCACTTGATCAATCCATGGTCTGACAGTAACACTAATCACTAATTGTTTATCGCTGTTTCATCAGCTTGAATTGACGCTCTTTTGGGCCCAGGTAGCTGTCTCAAAGCCCCAATGTTCGATGACTTGATGATGAAAATTGTACCAACTTCTTGCTACTCTCCGGTTGTCATCAAACATGGCTATTTGGAGAGTGTCCCATTTAGTTCGATGATTTTCCCATTTCAAAAGTCATTTAGTTCGGGGATTTCCCAGCTTACTATGTCCCATTTAGTTCTATGATGTTCCATGTTTTAAGAGTAATTTCAAGTGGATTTCCAATTGTTATATGTTGGTTTTTCCACTAGTTCGATGATTTTTCCCCATACCAAAAGGCATGTTCAGAGGAGATTTCCCATCATTGCTATGTTGGATTTCTCAGCTTGCTATATGTTGGACTTTCATGGATTTTCCAATTGCTACGTTGAAGATCGCCGCAACAAAATTCCATCTTAACCACACTGCGATCGCCACTTCCGATCGCCACAGGTACCAGATGCGATCGGTCCCAACGCCCTGCCACAGGCCACGGCGGTAGATTATGACTGGGTAAACCTTAGTGAGGCGTAGCTTAAGTTATACATGTAATACATGTAATGTATGTAATATATGTAATATATGTTTTGTATATGTAATATAATGGAATATATGCTATGTATGTTACATATGTAATATAATTGATTTAATATAAGAAACTAGTTTTTAGTTGATATCACTTTGAAATCATGATTAATGAACCTTAGTGAGCTATATAATATATTGTTCTTTAATGTGGTGAATATCCCAATAATATGTTTAATTGCGGTAAACCCAATGCCATAAACCCATAATAAACTTACCATTTGGGGATGGTTTATCGCATTGGGTTTATGGGTTTATCGCATTCATACTTAAAAACCTTGATTGGTGAGTCCAGCTCAAGTTGTTAATTCTCTTGGAGGGTATTTGAGATTTGAGATTAGCCATGATTTCTACACTTTTCTTTTCTTTATCCTCACGAACATTTCCTGCGTTTGGAACCACAGGTTCCGGAAGGCAAATTGGCGTTCTGAGTGTTGTTTTTCGCGCCTAAAATATTGGATTCTGACTAAGTAAGACACCAACTCCACCTACAACTAAAAACGACCAAATGGGCCATTTTGTTGGGTACGCTTCTGGCTGCTGAGAATTGGTCAAACAACCATATTCTGCGTACCTGGTGAAATCCCGAATTGGGATGGTTACAGTATGAAGCCATACTGTTTCTGTCAGGGCAGAAAAGGCAAAGTTTCAAGTCGCAATTGTACCCTGTTACTTCCCTATATATGACTCATTTTTACACCATTTCTACATCATCGATACATCTTGGATTGGAAAATGAGAAGACTGGCCACATCCAAAAGCGCCTGTGCTGTGAGGCACCGGCGCCGGCGCCAGCACCAGGCGCCATAACCTGATTGGTTGATGGCATCATGGGTTTCAAACTACCTCGGCTGATGGATTTTGATGGGGATTGCTATACAATCTGGTTGGTGGTTTGGAACACTTTTTATTTTTCCAATGGGAATTTCATAATCCCAACTGACTCATATTTTTCAGAGGGGTGGGTCAACCATCAACCAGATGGATTTTGATCCGTGAACCAAAGAAAGCTCCTTCGGGTCAAGCGACGGGTACCGAACAGCGGGTGTTGAACCAGCCCAGTTTGGGGAGTTTTTTCGGCAGAATTGGGTCAAAACATAGCTGAGTCACTGGGGAATGTGTTTGATATGCCTCTGAAGATTCACTTTGCTGGGGTATAGGGTTGGTCATGGGGTATAGGGTTGGACCCTAAAACCGATTCGGTTGAGGAGGACGAGTCATCATGTGGATGTCAAAATGTATTGCATTTTTTTTGTATTTGTGGGTTTAGATCTTGGGATTTTTTCTTGAAGAGTCTTCGTTTTTTGATTTAGGGCCCCCACCCAAATCACTCCAAACAGCACGACAGCGTTAGCTTGGCGCTACGTTGGCGTTAGGGTTTTGAATCATAAGTGTACAGGGTGGAAGAATATATTATGAGATAATTGCGCAGTGCTTACATCAGTAGAAAGATCTTGGCAAAACTCGAGAATGCAGCTGAAAATCCGCGCTAGCTCCGCGGTAGAAATGCGCTAGGAAAAGTCACACATTGTGAGGAGTTGCCCACAGAATTGGAACATTCATCATAAATCAAGCTGTGTATAGGACAAGTCGTTGCCTTTTTTCCCTTACGTATCCATTGGCTACCGGCTACCATTTGCTGTCATGAATGTTTCTTCTTTGGCCATTCGCGCATGGTAGAAGGATTGAAAGGCCCAAGGCCTAAGGCCTGAATCACGACCGGCGTTTGGCAGGTGCCTGAAGCAGTCGCAATCTCAGGTGTTTCAGAATGAAGCTATCAGACATGATCAAACTCAATTTCTGAAGAGAACTTCCTTCATCAGTATTTTTTGGGGTGCCGCATGTTTTTTCCCTGTTCGCCTCTACTTGGGATGATGATCAGATTTTTTTGGATTGAAACTGCCCACCAGATGGCAAGATGGTGGGATCATCATCCGAAGCTGCGATGACTGTGATGACCCAGTGCGTCTGCAGTCAAGACGTAGATTCGCGTGACCCTAAAAAGCATTACCCTCTGGTAAACATACAAAAAACTATGGAAAGATCCACCACTTTTAATGGGAAATTCACTATAAATGGCAATTTTCAATAGCTATGTTAAATTACCAGAGGGTAGAACAGCTCATAAAGTTGACACTATTCAAGACAGCGAAACCAATTTGGCTTTGGAAAGAGGGTCGTGTACCAGAAAATCTATGGTTGCCCTTTGCACGCCCAGGTCTACTGACTGCGCACGTTTACCGATGGAAGCACAGAAAGAACAAAGCTTGGACAAGCAAAATTTAGAAAACAGATACCCTCTGGTAATTTAACATAGCTATTGAAAATGGCCCATTTATAGTGGATTTACCCATTAATAATGGTGATTTTCCATAGTTATGTTAGTTTACCAGAGGGTATATGGCATGTTCAGTTCCAAAATTCTAGTGGAGGACATTGGACTTTCAATGTTCGGGGCCAAGCCGAGTTCTGTACACGTGTTCTAAAACCAAACCACATTATGATTTTGCATGTACCCTCTGGTTATTTAACATAGCCATGGTATAGATGGCCCATAGAAATAGATGGTTTACCGAACTCAAAAATAGGTGGATCTTTCCATGGCAAACTGTTAGTCATAACCAGATGGTACAACCATTGTTCATTCTGTTTGAACATATGATAACTTATTCAGATGAGGCCGCTCATCAGCCTGAGTTGTACCGACTGACCTGGCTCGGAAAAAGAGCTGGAGGTTACGGGGATGACCAACACTGCTGGGCTCTAAGTAGTCCTGGTTCCGACCGGTTGTTTATCTGTGTTTGTTCGATGGGGATAGTGGCAAAGTCGCCTGAAGTGTTTTTGCCCAAAAGCCGGAAGTTTCAGGGAAATATCGGAACACCTCAGGGAAATATCTGAACAGACATTTCATTATATTGGTATGGGTCAATACCTATTAATACCATTTTGAGGGGGATGAACATCCATTTACCAGCTATTTTGGGGTTCACCAGGGGTACAAGGTTTTGACCCATCCCCATATCATAACATGAAATTTCACTTATTGTCCAGAGCGTTATGAGTTATGATTATAACCAACGGCCGTACCTCCAACATGATACGTCGTGTCAAGACCAGCTACAATTTTGTGTTTATCGTCGATAGACATGTTTTATTGCTCCCAAGCGGACGATCTCATGCCCTATCGGGTCTACCAAAGACATGAATAGGTTGGTTTAGATGTACACAATTAAGACATCATAAGACATCATAAGACATCATAAGACCAAGAAATGATTGCCAAGAAACATGTTTCCCCAGAATTCAACATGGAAATCTGAAAATTTGGTGTGTGTCAGGTGGCGAGACGCTTGCACAATCAGCAGTTCAAGGTCAGTCCAGGGTCCCGATGTTGAGATTTGTGTAGGGGTGTGTGCCCCAAAATGGTCATTAAATGTCATGAATTCATGGGGGAATAGTCCGTTTCTTATAGGGACTTATCATGACTTGGGGATAACTGGATTCATGGGGAAAAATGGACTCGGCATTTCTTGGATATTGACTCCATACAGGTACCGTGTGAGTTTTTGATGGCAACATGACCTGCATTTACATTGGCACAAGCGCTGAACAGTGAGGGAATGTAAGGAGGAAAAACAGCTGGGACTTCCATTCTGTTCACTTTGGGTTTTGGCATGTTTTGACCGCTTGAATCAGGCGTGCAGTTTTTTTGGTTGAAGTTGCAGATGTATGTTTATCCAAGATGTAAGAATGTTCGTCGATGGTTCCATTTGCCTTCCATAAATCTCAGGAAGTTTATGCTTAAAAAAATCTAAATGGTTTGTTTTATTCTAAATATGTCTCAATGAAATGTCTGCTTTTTGTTTTTTTTTCAGGAGGTTTGAAACTTTTGGAAACTGCTAAGCAGAAATGTATCAGACTTTCGATCGACTCAATGGGCAAATGGCTGGCAGGAAGCCTTGGCGAAAAGTGTTCAGAGAATAACCCTCGGTTGTCATCAAACGTGGCAAGCTGGAAAATAATGTATACATGGTGTTTATAATGGGAGAATCCTCTCTCTCTATATATATATATACATGCACATATATTATATATATACACAATTATATACGTATGGTGTTTTCAATGGGAACATCCTCTATACACGCATATGTACATGTATATATCATATGTTGTTTGAATGGTACATTCCTCTAAAAACGATGTTTCAACCGAAAAGCATCGAACTAAATGGATCTAAGTGGTGCATATGTTCCATTGCTGTGCCAGAGGGTATGCCTTTGGTTCATGTTTTGAAAGGAAACCGTGTCTCTGCAAGTTTTGCTAACGCTTCGGAGGTTCCGGCAAGCTTTCCCTTTAAGCAGGTTTGAGAATAGAAATGCCTATTCATCACCATTGTATAAGCTAGCTATTGTTTGGTCGAATAGCATGATATTGTCTATTCACCGTACGATTTGGAATGTTCAGGGTTGTACATATATATAATATATACTATGACATATGTATATATATACTATGACTATATACTATGACATATGTATATATATATACTATGACATATATATAAATATATACTATGACATATGTATATATATATATACTATGACATATGTATATATATATACTATGACTATATACTATGACATATGTATATATATATATACTATGACATATATATATATATATACTATGACACACATACATATACTATGACATATGTATATATATATATACTATGACATATATATATATACTATGACACATATATATCTATACTATGACATATGTATAGTATATACTATGACATGTATATATATATATACTATGACATATATATAAATATATACTATGACATATGTATAATATATACTATGACATGTATATATATATATACTATGACACATATATATCTATACTATGACATATGTATAATATATACTATGACATGTATATATATATATACTATGACATATGTATACTATGACATATATATATATATGTATACTATGACATGTATATATATATATATACTATGACATATATATATATATGTATACTATGACATATGTATAATATATACTATGACATGTATATATATATACTATGACATATATATATATGTATACTATGACATATGTATATATATCATGACATGTATATATATATACTATGACATGTATATATATATACTATGACATATGTATAATATATACTATGACATGTATATATATATACTATGACATATATATAAATATATATTATGACATATGTATAATATATACTATGACATGTATATATATATTATGACATATATATATACTATGACATATATATATATATATATATGTATACTATGACATATGTATATATATATATACTATGACATATATATATGTATACTATGACATGTATATATATATATATATACACTATGACATGTGTATATATATATACTATGACATGTATATATATACTATGACATGTATATATATACTATGACATGTATATATATATACTATGACATATGTATATATATATATATATACTATGACATGTATATATATATACTATGACATATATTTATGTATACTATGACATATGTATATATATATATACTATGACATATGTATATATATATATATATACTTTGACATGTATATATATATACTATGACATATATATATATGTATACTATGACATATGTATACTATGACATATATATATATATATATGTATACTATGACATGTATATATATATATACTATGACATATATATATGTATACTATTACATATGTATATATATACTATGACATATGTATATATATATATATATATACTTTGACATATATATATATACTATGACATATATATATATGTATACTATGACATATGTATATATATATACTATGACATGTATATATATACTATGACATATATATATATGTATACTATGACATATGTATATATATACTATGACATATGTATATATATACTATGACATGTATATATATATACTATGACATATATATATATGTATACTATGACATATGTATATATATATACTATGACATATATATATATGTATACTATGACATGTATATATATATACTATGACATGTATATATATATATATACTATGACATGTATATATATACTATGACATGTATATATATATACTATGACATATATATATATGTATACTATGACATATGTATATATATATACTATGACATGTATATATATATATACTATGACATATATTTATGTATACTATGACATATGTATATATATATACTATGACATATGTATATATATATATATATGATATCATCATTTTTGCTGGTGAAATCCACCACTTTTGCTCAAGAAGCATCCTCAGGCCCCTCGACGCAGTGCCTCCGCCGGACCGTCGAGGCTGTCCCCATTTCTCGGAGCATTGCTGTTTTAGGATGTTTTTGGCTATAAATTCAAGAGTATTATATATATATACACATAGATGCGATTATGGATAGAATGTGTATATTTAAATATAATGATTATATTGATGTATATGATATATATATATATGGCTGGCTACTAAGACTATTGGATTATTTGAAAAGAGGACTGTCATTGCGTTTTTTGTTGTAATGTCAGGGCCCCGGATCACTAGACTATAGTTGTTGACTTTTTGGGGCTATCCCAACAAAGCGATCAGTTCCATAATTAATGCATATATATATATATAATTATATATATATATATATATCATTATATACATATATATATATATCATTATATACATATATATATATATTAATGATCAAACTTGGTACTTGGACCATCTTGGACCTAATTTCATAGCCCTACGGGTGAATTAATCTGCGATTCAGCTAAACAAACATTGATAATCATTGATATTAAAACAATCCATCCTAGTAAACCTCTTTAGAAACACCGTTGACTATTCCTATTTGGGAGGCCCATTAAAAGAGAACATGGATTTATAATTCATAACTAAGCCAACATTTGGAGTATTGCATGTCAAACAATCCAGAGAATGGCTTAACATGTTACATGTCTCGGTGTTTTTCCGAGAGTCTGACAGCGCCCGAAAATGTTCACCGCCGCTGTAGGTTTGAGATGCTCTACAGCGATGCCAGTCGCCGGGACGAGGAGCGGAAGCACTTGCAGGCGCGGTGCCCCGATCTCTCCCGGTTGTTGGGAACGGACAACCCATGTTTGTGATGCCAAAAGCCATGTTTTTCATGGGAAAATCATGATTTTGAATGGAAAACAGGTGGAGAAAAGGTGGTGAAACTAAAGTCATTGCCTAGCATGGGCATCTTGTAGCGATGGCTGATTCCCGAAAGGTATATCTCCTAAAATTGGGTACACATCCCCAGCTGGCGACTATGGCATTGTTGGGATGTGGAACCGAGGGAAGTGGTTCCTGCGTTGGATTTCAGCTCCGGAATTCACCACACACCGAGGAGTGTCATGAAAGAGACGAACTGGAGATGTTCCGAGCTTGGATAGCTGCAGAGGGTGCATTGGGAGATGGGCCCCTAATGGCTGTTGCAATTAAAATATTGGGAAAATGTTTGAACATCTCAGCGATATTTCGACGTACCTTATCAGACAGCCAGCCATTAGCTATTTCGGTGTGACCCAGTGTTGACCCATGCCCTGGGCAACGACATCCCTCCCGCTCTCCTCATGAGTATCTTGTTGATTGATGTTGATTGTGATTGTGATTATTTGTCCCTGGGCCAGTGTATCCCCAATATGGTGGTTTCCCGAAATGGGGGTACCCCACATCATCCATCTTATCCATTTTATTTTCATGGATATTCCATGAAACCGTCCAGCTTTTAGGGATCATGATTACCCATAGGATCCATGTATGCTATATATGGTAACATTTACCATCAATATACCCCCAATGTTAGCATATATACCAGCACCATGGATCCATATGGATCCTATGGGTTATGGAAACCCCCAATATTGGGCCATGAGCTCCCAACCTCATGCTGTCATCCAAGGTGTCGCTTGCAGCTTGTCACCACCCCGCGGCGCCTGGGCGGCAGCGGCACGAGCAGCGCGCAGGCACGAAGCAGCTCAGCGAGGTCGCATGCAGAGGCGCGAAGGGATTCATAGGTGGCCACCATCCCTAAAGCCATTTGGGATTCCTAGAGATATGGAATTTATAAGCTAATGTAATGGGAATTATAGGGATTTGATATGATTTGATCGGAATTATAGAAATGGATGTGCATTTTCTTTCTATAGGGATCTAATGGGACGATTTCATGTCGGAAACCGGTTTTTTCCATAGGTTTTTCCCACATTTTCTTTGGAATGGGTTAGACATTACCATAAGATTACTATTTATATAGATTATGTACTATTTTGGATGGAATAGATATGAATAGATTACTATTTATCTTATACAACCATAGGTTTTTTTTCACTAATTCTATGGTGATTTAACATAGTTTAGCCATCATTCATAGCGGATCATCATGGGAAATCCATGGAAATCCCAGCAGCCAAGGATGAACAAAAAGACATTGGTTGGATGAGTCAATCGAAACATAGTGGTACCAATTAAATTTGCAGGGCATCTCCGCCCAAATCTATATATATATATTTATTTAATATATATATATATGTAAAGAATGAGAAAGATTGAGATATAATGAGAGAAAATATGAGTTATTGCCGGCAAATATGTCACAGTTGCGCTATCTGAAACTGGGAAGCATCTACCACTGGCATTCAATGTGAAAAAATGATAAAACTACAAAGATATGCCCTTCTCCGCTTTGCCCTCCTCCACCTCCGCCCTCACTTCAACTGCTAGCTTCACATCTCAGTGGGCACTGCCGGACCTCAACCGCGAGCGCCAGATGCCAGACGAGAGCCAGATCTCAGTGGGCGCTGCGGGACCTCGATTGCGAGCGCAAGATGTCATAGAATGTCAGATAGAATGTCAGATAGAAAGAATGTCAGAAACAAATCAAGCGAATGCCTGATAGGATGTCAGAGAGAATGCCAGATTGAATGCCAGAACATATGTGATGTGATGTTTTAATGCACATGCAGTGTTTCTTTTGTGAGATGGCGGGTTTGTACGATCATTGACAAAATATATGTCAGAATATATGAATTGAAATGCCAGGGTGGGGATCACTCGAAGTAAAGTATTTGTCTAAAATGTTGTTATTTTGCATTTTCTATCATTCCTGGTATTTCGACCCCCATTTCACCAATGTTTTTGCAATGGATTGAAATCTCAGACCAGCAAAGACGGTGGTTTATGCCATCAAAGCATATATTGAACGTTGGGATGTCAGAATGTAACAACGGCCTATGTGCCAAAAAGACGACCCGCGGACAACACAACCTGTAAGACTTTGGCAGAGGCAATTACCTTATCGAGTCAAATGACAGGGCAGCCACTTGCATGAAGATGCACACCCATCAAGTATATTCTAATTCCATTGTGTTTTAGAGAAGATCCTCATGTTCGTTTATAATAACCCGCAACATGATAGAAAAACAATAGGAAAACAAACACAATTTACATCAATTTACCACTATTTGTTCGTATGATTTTACAAAACCCTATCTTCTTTGGGGCTTGCCGACTTGGTTACCTTCTCCCCAGCATTTCCTGCGGGACCTGCAGGCGCATGCCATGGTCTCAGCGCATGATGCTGGAAGCAGGAAACCAAATTTGAGATGGGTAACGAGGAGGATTTGGGGATGGAGCACCAAAAATGTTCAAAACACCTATTTTTACATATGTTTACCATATTTTGCTGAAACATCCATTAACCAACTATTTTAGGGTACCTAGGGCACCAGGGTTTTGACCCATAACCATTCGGAGGTTTCGTGCTTCAGGTTTCATTACCTGATGCTAATTAATCACCTGATAATCAGCCAATCATTTACCAGACAATCCATCCATGATGGGTAATTGACTGAGGATGATTTGGAGGTTTCCTAAGTCACGGGGGTACTCCCAGTTATCATCCTAAAGTCATTAATTAGACCATTTCGGTATTGAAAGCCATGGTGACTTGAGGACCCCTTAAAGAAAAGCCTATTTTTTGAGAGGTATATTTCCCAGTTCATGGATCAAATGATCAACCAACAGGGGTTGAGATAGGGTAGCTGATGGTAGCTGACATACCTCGATTGCATGTCGACTCAGTCAGTTTAAGTCCCACAAACAGGTGATGTAGAGATTCTCGTCGAGGATTTGAAGAATCCTGAGATATGTAGAGTATCCGGTTGATGGTTTCACAGATTTGATATGATGGGAAACGAATGCACTTAGAATATGATTGATACTAGTTCCTCATCATTTATATGCTATTATATACAAATTAAATTTATAGTTCTAAATATATTCCATGTGTACTGTACCCCTCCGATTTCCATATTCCAAGTACGTTCTGTGATGAATTGAATCAAGTCCGTTTTCATATTCTAGATTGTTCAATTTGTTTTTGTTTATTCTAAGAGTTTGTCTAACATTGTAGATTTGAATATCTATTCATCTAGGGTGGTTTCATTCTGACATATGAACAGAATAATCCATCTTGTGATGTGAACAACACATCAATTTGGGGGATTAGTTGGTATTTACCGGTATTTACCCATGGAGCAGGTTTTTGTGTCTGCTGAACGTAATTTCCCCTGGTAAATTTACAGCCCCTCAAAAGGATGCCTCAAAGTCTTCAGGATGGATGAAGTTTTCCCCACACTTTCCAAGTGTTCAAGGACTTTCCGGTATCTTTTTTGGGTTGCTGTACCCATTGAGATTGGTTTCCCTCTTGTGAACTAGCACAACTGTGGGAAATCGCCAGCTTTGAATACTTTTATTTTTTAATAGGTAAATCATCTGCAAATTGGTTACTTTCCACAGCTTATGTTACTTTACTGGAGGGTAAACCATCCAAAACCATGCGACGGTCATGCCCTTGTCGAAGGATTCCGCGGCCGTCAATCCCTGCCCGGCCTGCTGAGGCATTGGGAAACCCTTGAGTTTGTAATGTTGGTAAAACAATTTCATAAACCATCCCCACTTTCACCATAGGTAAACAGTATAAACCATTCCCGAATGGCTGGTTTATGACATTGTTTCACCTCCTTTGTGACAAAAGATGGGGGGGTCCTGCACTTTTTTCTTTCACTTCGAAGAATTTGGGATAATCTGGATATATCCCAATTTTTCTGGGCATGCTGATAGGCAGAAAATTCATGTCATGAGAACCGATGTGAATTTGGGGGTAGCCTATTTTCAATGGGTATCTGCCTCTGGATCAAAGATTTGTTCCTCCCCAATTCCCCAGTGTTTTGGTACTGAGACTAACACAGAAATTTGGAGGCTCCGTGGCTCCAAGGTTTGTTGGAATTGGTTTTGGATATCACAACCGCCTTCTTCTCGTGAAGTGCAGAAACTTGATTCGGCACCTTCCTGTGTTGTTTTTTGTTAAAGGGACCTTTCGAAAGAGGCACGTTGACTTATCAGACCGACACTTGCTGTCTCATCATGGTCAGAGCAAATGTGAGCCATGTTCGATTGGAACATACCCTCTGGTAAACTAACATAACTATGGTAAATCACCACTTTTAATGGGAAAATTCACTAAATAGCCATTTTCAATAGCTATGTTAGTCATTACCAGAGGGTAGTACATTTCAGCGAGCTGAATCCCATGGAGCAGGGCTTGGTAGTTGCAGATTCACCCAACAATAAACCTACCATTTGGGGATGGTAAATACCAGCCATAAAAATGGTGATGACTTGGGGATGGTTTATGATTGAGTTCACCACATTATTTGCGATGATATCAGATTATATACATATCACATTCTTGTCGGCGAATAATCTCGGACATTTTCCTGCTTCATTAGATTGGTTTTATCAATGCAGGAAGCTGGGGAAGCATTGGATAGGTACTCAATAGAGGAATTACTTTGACCTCTTGCAGTTTTAGGATCATATATATATACATTATTATTATTATTTTTATTTTTATTTTTATTTATTATTATTATTATTTTTTATTATTATTATCATTATTATTATCATTATTATTATTTATTATTTTAACTATTATGATTATTATTATATATTATGATACCCAGTTGTTACAAATATATATATATATATAATATCCAGGGAAACATCTAACATTGGCCGTGTGCAAGGCATGGTTGTTATCACCTGGTGGGTGTATTGTAAAATGGTTTGAAAGAGGTATATTCATATCAATGATCAATTTATGTCCAGTAGTGGACAACAATATATCCAAAATACATTGTATATGACATATATATACATATATGTATATATATACATAATATGTCATTTAATAGAATATATATTATGTAATACATTTTTAGTTCAAACATCATAAAATAGACTGAACACATCCCACATATTGCAGGCCAAGGTTGCCGCGCCATCCGCAGCGACGCAGCTCAGCTGCACTTAAGATGTTTTTCATCATGGTATGGAAACGCGAAACCAAAACATACCATGGAAGTCGCTCTAAAAACTGGGTGGAGGTTTCTAAATGGCTCTCGTTTTTCAACGATAGATATATGGACAAAAAACCTGAGATCATTGGTTGAGATGACTCTAATATTTGTTGGGTTCTTTCACCAATCAGTCAAGATCATTCTTTGAATCCATTGTCATCCATTGTGCAATTGAAATTGAATGTGAAACTTTAAAGTCCTTAAAACCTGTTTTTTTTATGTTTCTTGCCCAATGTTTTTTTCCAATATCACATGATGGGCCCCAAATTTTAGTGATAAAAAAACCGGTGGTTTCCTTGCCACATTCCCAGGGCAGATCAATCGCTTCGGAGAGACCGAAGCGTTTCCAGAGGCTTGGCTCGCTGTCATGCAGCGCTGAGAAGCCTCCTCCTTTATCTCTAATATGTGTGTATATATATATTTATTCATTTTTTTATGTATTGTTTTTATTTATTTATACTTACATACATACAGAATACAGATGTATAAGATACATATATACATGTACATCATATATATATATGTATATTTTCATTACCAAGTGTATACATCGTTAGGGTTCAAAGCCTCCAACTCGATGTATACCATTGTTTTTCTCTCAGCAAATAGACGAAAAACACAAGGGGTTGACAGAGGCGCTCGGTTTTGACCTATCCTGGGTGTTTTCTAGTTCAGTAGCACGAAATAGGGATTTAGGAGTTTCTTGAACATTCGTTGTTTAACAGAAAAGGCAACCCAAAAAGATAGAAACATAATTTCCCATGCACATACTGACAAATGTACCCTGTTATATGTTTTTAGGGGTTGCTATACTTGACTAAAGCAGTTTTCAATTGTCCCAGTGGAGCAACGGACACAATTTTAACTCTCCTAGACCCTCTAGGTGTTGTCTCTTTTTTTCGTTTTTTTTGCCCATGTTTTTGTTTGGGTTGTCCCCCATGGGGTATACCCTCTGGTAATTTAACATAGCTATTGAAAATGACCATAGAAATAGTGGATTTTCCCATTAATCATGGTGATTTTCCATAGCTACGTTAAATTACCAGAGGGTAGCTCTTAAATTTCGCCCTTTCAAATTAAGGTCAGTGCGCCATTGGATCTCCGATCTCAAGAGGGGTCCCCAACTTTGACCCATGGCCATTTTTCGGCAGGAAGCCAGCGTGAGGCTGGTGGAATGTTTGTGGGGTTCCCGAGCTCTTTGGTTCACCACGGTGGTGAAATGCTGGTGAAATAGTGGTGGAATGTGCAAAACATCCTGTTGGTTTACTTTTAATAACATTGATGGATCGATATTGAAAGTAAACATCAATGATGTTTCTGCAGGACTTGAATTGAACAATAATTATGAAGAAAGGAAACCAATGCTTTCGACGCTGAGGGTGCAAAAGGGTAAACCATTTAGGAGTTTTGAAGCAAAATTTGCTGCACAGGGGAAGTGCGAATGCATCCTGTGGCTCATGAATAGAACCGCACTTGGTGGAGGAATTTTGAGAGCGATGAGCAGTGCTCAAACATCATGTTAGTTGACAATAAGATGGGCTGAATTTAACTCTACGCATTTGATTTGTTAGTTTTGTCAACATCCCATGATCAGAATCATCCATGCTCAACTCCAACAACGGACATCCGAAAGCTTTGCACAGGTGTCACAGGTGCCGGAAACCGCAAAGCCTGCAGAGCGTGCAATGGCTGACCGCAAAGGCCACGTTGTGTCATTCATATGTCATGTTTTTGGCTGCATGTTGGAAAGTGAATGGCTAAGTACCAAGTACCATTGGACTAGGACAGTCATTGTTACTGTCAAAATATCCAGTTGTTCTGTCTGACATTTGGATGTGTAAATGGTGCGTTGATCCTTTGTCCCGTTGATGCCTCGTTCACAACCCTGGTTTTGATGCATCAAAAATGGAAGAACAAGAATCAGGTCAAGACTTTAGTAAATATTTCATTTATATCCCATGAGTATTCGTATTCCCATTTAAGATCATTTAAGTGGATATGAAAAAAAATGATACAAGGCAGCGCAAGGTTCAGAAGTTCAGCAGCTTCGACTTAAATCCTTCGGTAGACTGGACCCACCGTACAGTGACACAATTGTGGACTGTTTGTTTTTGTTTGATCTGGCTTCTAATGTTCACTTTTTTTTTAAAGAAAATAGCCAAATTAACATTCATCCAATAGTAACCCCAATAGTAAACCCAATAGATCTAACTTTGATAATTCACCCAATAGAAACCCCAAATCTATCCAAATAGAATCGATTGGATCGACCTCGAGCCTAGGCTCCGGGACGTTGGAGAATTCTGGAGAGGTTTCTTGACGCTCGGGGGATCCCCAAGAAAAACCATGGCTTTCAATACTAAAATGGTATAAAATGCTGTAATTTTGGACTCTCTATATATATACATGTGTGTGTGGTCTAGTCTTACTAAAGAATACTGAAGAGTTAATGAATGATTAGTGAACTAAGAGTGAACAAACCCGAAGCATGTTGCACTATTGTTATTTCGGGATGGTAAGAAGTTGATGGTGGAAGTTGAGAACTGTGGTTGTGGATCAGGCTCCTGATACACGACTTAAACCTCTGTTGTTGGGGTGGTAGTTTCCAAAACATGATTCAAGATATTCAAGGAAAAAAAAACACAGGATCACCCTCCGACATTTGATGAGATAAAAAACCATGGGTTTCTCGCAGATGTTCCTTTAAAGCAATCCATTGATACTGGTTTTGGTTGGTTGTTTCTGATCCGCAATTTCCGTTGATTCAAGGCCCAAGCTGGCACCCCCCGTACGACCAGTCCGAGAGGACTCATGCTGTGTGTCACGGGGAGAAATACTACCCAGCTTAAAGAGTAGGCTTTGGCAATTTCATTGGGTAATGAATATGGGATAATAGGTTTTGAATATTTTGATATGGCGTGTGTATATATATATATGTGTGTGTCATATAACCAGCGACGCTTGGGATATTGCATGATCTTGCTGGGTAAGCCAAATTGAGGATGTCACAATTTCTCACATGCATCTTTTTTGTATCCAACAGATTGTTGGATATCCAGATATTTAGATATTGTAAAATAATCTATATTTGGATGTTGTGGGATATTTGATTGTATCGAAGAGATTTACTGTTGATGAAAATCAAAACCAGGTATACTGAATGGAGAATCGTTGGTGAATCTTTTGCCATTGTGCATGAAAGAATCTTGCATGTCACAGAAAACAAAGTGCGTCGATAATCTTGCAGCAAAAATCCATAGGAACCCGAGTTCCAGCTACCACAAGTATCGGAAAATTGGAGGTCTTTGCTGGCATTTAGTGATTGCTTTTAGCTAGAAACCCTCCAGATTTAAGGCTTTTAGCTAGAAATCCTATAGCTCCACGTTTTTCCGGGCGCAATCGTCTAAGTTTCAGCTATGACTCATGTCAACCCCTGATGAATACACCCTGGTTTACTTAAAATCTCCGGGATTCCCCCAAGCAGTGATGTCATTTGCTACTACACTCGTACTGTACGCAATGATCAACAACCTATAATCTACAACAGCCTAGTTTTTTTAATCTGGGATTGGCATTAGACGTCATTGGACAAGTCATGCAAGTTCTACTAAGCTCCGAGGTAACTCAAACAGGTTTGTCTCAAAAAAGGGTACCCCAGAATCCACTGGATTATCAGTTAAATTCTCAGTATGTTCATTCATTTTCCCTAGTGTTGCCTATTAAAGGAACTTTTTGGGTATATATATATACATATATATATATACATATACATATATATATATATACATATATATATATACATACATATATATATATAGAGATATCCCATTTTCAGACACCCAAAGATGGCCGGAAGATCCACCAGGAAGTACTCGGAGTCCGAAAGCCACAAGCAAGGTGTCACCGAGGGATGAACGACGTGGTAAAGTGATTCAGGGCATCCCACTTTTAGGATTTCTATAGCCATAGGATCCATGGTGCTGCTATATATGGTAACATGGATCCCATCAATATACCCCAGTCATGTTAGCATATATACCAGCACCATGGATCCTATGGGATAGCTAAACTCAGGATTCGATCATCCTCAATGTACAAAATTTCTATTTGTTTGAGAGCAAGAATGTATGCCACTTCATCTGTTGCCATTCGAATGTACGAATATATATAATGTTCACATAAAAAATGCAATGTATCTAAGCCTCGCCATGGATTCATGGATATAGGCGGCCAACATATGGGAATGCAGTGAGGTTTTCGATGGGGATATGATAACAGCAACGATGGACCTCAACTCGCTTCCATTGAAGAGAATGGCTACTGTGACCCCTGGTGGATGAATTAGGTCCCAAACAACAAACAGTTGTAAGCTATATATAAGTTACCCTCTGGTTATTTAACATAGCCATGGAGAATGGCCCATTTATAGATGGTTTACCTATTAAAAATGGTGATGTTCCATGGCTATGTTAAATAACCAGAGGGTATGTATAATAATCATTGGATGAACATGTGTGGATCCCTGCCAAGGTAAACAAACATGGGCCTTGTGCATTTTGGGCTTGACATCGTGTGACAGTTTGGGTTGACATCGGCACCAATAAGAAGTTCCCCATCAAAGAATAGGCAGGAAATCATTGGGCATATAAAATAAGAGATAAGGAACGATAAATGTCATACTCGTATATTAATATTATATAATTCATAAATATAAATCAATGTAAATCAGGGATACATAAGGGTAATTTGCTGCGGCTCCTACCCATCCTTGGAATTGTTCAGCACCGTGCTGTTGTATGGAGTGAAACTTCCAGCAACCAGCTTCTAGTAATTTAACATAGTTTTGGCAAATGGCCCATCTTAAATTTCCAGAGTGTGTATGAATATCACTCTGTTACCATGGTAATTACTGTGGTTAAATTACCATGTTAAACATTTTACCAGAGTAATTACCACATAGTTGAATAAGAAAAAATGTAATTACTATGACCATGTGGTATTTGTGTAACCCTCTTGACATGCAACATGAGCAGTTTCAAAAGCTCTTTGTGGTTGATTAGTTCAGGGGTTACACTGGCCACCTGAAGGTAGCCCCATGATGTTTGGCTTTCTGTTCCGATGGACCATGAGATAGATATACCACGTTTTGAAAAAGCACATGTAAGACTGCCCTAAAACACATGTACCCTTTGGTAATTTAACATAGCTATTGAAAATGGCCATAGAAATAGTGGATTTACCCATTAAAAATGGTGGATCTGTCCTGTCCATAGTTATGTTAGTCATTACCAGAGGGTATACAACTGAGTGTTGGATGTTGGTATGTCCTTGTTTTTGGCATGATGATATCCCAATGACTTTAGAATATCCTTCAGGATCCTTCAGGGGCAACCAGATATAGAGTGCAACAATCAGCTCTCAGCATCATAAAACCTCATCATGATGGTTATGGGAAGCATCCCCAAAATACCCTAAAGTGCCCAAAGAAATGTGTTGCTGGTTGGTGGTTTCCAATGTTCATTGGTGGTCAGCTATACTAGTACATGGGATGGTTGATTGAAATGAATTATATTGTCGGGAGGGGTTAAAACCATCAACTAGTTTGTTGTCAGTTACCAACTCTCCAAAGTCGTTCCTTCTGAATCTCTTCCCCAGATGAACCAAACGCGGACCTCGGAGCCCAAAGCAGGCGCTGGGGCCACCCCAGTTCTTACCCTTTCTTGGCGTCAAAAAGGTTAGAAGGTGATGAAGCGTAGAGACGATATGAGACGATGAGTTGGTATTTTCAATGTTCAAGATGTATTCTTCTGCATATGACTAATTAAGGTGAAAATGCACAGAAACGGATGCACATGATTATATAGACATTGAGGGTTTACTGGGCGCGCTGAGAATGTCACTTATCCGAATATTTTCGCGTCGCACAGACCAGAAGCTGAAACCAGAAGTGAGGATGACAGTGTTGTTGCTTCTGTATGTTGTCAAGTTGCACAAGATATTGGCTCAGCGCAACGCAGGCGCTACGCGTGCAAAGACACCACCGCGCGCAAAGACACCGCCACGAGCAAAGACACCATCACGAGCAACGACACCACCACGTGCGAAGACACCACAACCACGCGAGAAGACACCACCCAAGGCGTGCAAGGGAGGGCCCCCGGTGTTTCGGGAAGATTTCAGTCAAGGTTTGAAGATGTTTGAAGATATCATCTGGTTGGTGGTTTGGAACATTTGGATTATTTGTCCCATCATATTGGGAATAATCATCATCCCAACTGACTCATATTTTTCAGAGGGGTAGGTATACCACCAACCAGTCATGGTTGAGTATCTCGTATCCCAATTTTCGTTGCCAGCGCCAGCCTGTAACTTCATCTTTAAACGGTTTTCATATGCTTCTTTATTTATACCATGCATTTAGAGATGATTTAATTTATAGAAGCTGGCGATTTCCATAAGTATGTGAGTTTTCCAGAGGGTATCTAAGTATCTATGGTCATCCTTTATTATCCTTTATTGGCGTTTCATTGTGTTTCTTTGGTTCCTTCCTATGTTCTGGAAATCGAACATGAACGGAACCTTAAACTTGCTATGGCGGCTCTTGAGAGGCAACAGCAGCACAGAAATCCCAATCAAAATGGGCCATTTGAGGGGTGGGAAAAGCCATGTTTTCTTCGAACGAATCCAAAATTGGATGGTGTAGTAGTGATAATGATCAAAATTATGCGAGAAGCCGGGGTTTACATTTGACCTCCTTTCATAATATCCACAAGTATCCACAAGTTATGGTCCCACTGATTTGACTATTGAGATGTCTCAGATTTTCCAATGTCGCTTTCCTTGGTAATGCAGTATATCTAACAGCTTCTCACTATTTAGCTGTTGAAAGCTGATGTCTGCCGCATCCTGGAATTTCACTTCCCCTGCCCGGAGTGTAGCAAAATCGAAAATCGCCGTGAAAGGCGCAACCCAAGAGCGCAGCCATCCGCACCGGTGCATGGCCGTGAGGAATGGACGAGAGCTTAACTGTGTCTGTGTTGACCAAATGTAAGACCGCTATGATCGTTTTTACCCGTCACTTTTTCGAGGTACCTAGATTCTTGAGAATAGACAATAGTGTGTTTGTGTGTTGATAGTGGAAGTTCCCAATCTCATCTATCACTGCCAAGACACGTTTATTGCGGCTTAGTTTAAGGATGTGTTATTTCCCAATGGGAAATAACATGAAATAATCCAATATTAACCATTTGGATCCATTTGGGGAATCTATAGTTTGCCCTTTTACAAGGGGAGGGCCTACTTTCACCTCCAAGTCATGCCCAGTGACCCGCGAATGTACATAGATCACCAACGCGACGAATCGCGTTAAACGCGAACGCAAAAAGAATCCGGGAGTCGGCCATCAGTACCCATCCCATGTCGAATCCATGTCTGATCCATGGGTAACAAATATGAGATGCCCAATAATATGTAGGTTTAGTGCCAGAATATGGGTAATTATGTGGGTAATCAAGATCCATATAAACATCATTTAGTTTTCCATAAGATCCATATAATAAACAATGCCATAATCATAATAAGATGTCATAAGATGTTTAGTAGCCATCAATCTGTAGTACCCATTGACATATGTATGAAATATAGAGACAATTGTCATCCACAGATGGAACAGGGTGCCGTATGTTCAGACAAACTCATATGCTCCACGTATTGAATGATGAACTTTGTTTGGGCCTGTTGTGGGGTAAATGAATATTCCATACTGTTTCAATGGGAATTCCAGGATCCTAAAATGAAGCTACTGTACCAAAAAAAAGGCCATATTTTGAGGCTATATCCCCCTAAAAAATAGGCCTAAAACATAGGCCTCAAAAATAGGCCTACAATATATGGGATTGGTACCTCCAATCAATCGGTTCCTGTTGCATGGCCATTGACGGAAGACATCCACCTTGGATGGTTGGAGCATCTGGGCAATCCGCTCGCCCTGTAAAAATGGCACTGTTACCAGATCCAGTCCACTCATCTACACAGTACATGTATAATCATATATATATAATATATATATAATATATATATAATATATATATATATAATATATATATAATTGTATATATATTATACAATTATATGTACTATGTACATATATATATATATACATATGTCGTATGCATGCCCATCTACAAGTCAGAGACTCATTTCGAGAACTTTGCTGCCACACAGCTCAAAGCCTCGGCTCCTTGCTACCGTCGTCCCAGGCGAGGGTTTTACCGGGGTTCGAGGGGCTGACTCGGGAGGAATGTCTCACATGCAATGCAGTAGTGTAATACATAGTGTACCGTTGTTTCTGTAATGTAATGTTATTTTATGGATTTGTTTGTATTATGTTATCTTATGTTATCTTATGTTATCTTATGTTGTCTTATAATATGTATTGTTATACAATGAATGACTAAATGCATGCATGTATATACACATCATATAGACATCTAATGGTGATTCCCTGAGCAGGTTCGACAAATTCTGCCGTTTTTTTTCTTCCCCCCGTACCAGATTCAAAATCCCTCCAGGCCAACTCTACATCGCCAGGTCTTTGCCAGCGAATGGCCGCAATGGCTAAAAGCAACAGCGAAGGAGCGTTGGGGAGCCTGGACGATGGTGAGGGGAAGCAGCCCAGGTATCAGCAAGGGAAGTGTACCCCAATAGCTGGATGGTTTATTGCATGGAAAATCCTAGAAAAAAATGGATGATTTGGCGGTACCCCTATGACTTAGGAAACCCCAATGTGCAGGCTGTAGGATCTGGCCCTATGTAGATGTGCTTTTCTACGATTCAGCCAGATGATATCTGACAGGCTACACCCATGCAGGGATGACTTGGGCAATGACAGCGTTGGAGTTCTCATGATTTCTCAGAGCCATGAGTTGTAGTGTTTGATGGCCAGAAAGGGAAGGTTTTCCAATCAACAGATATGAAATGATATGAAGCTCAGGGAGATTTACATAGTTTCTTGAAATGGAAACACTGTGGGACTTTTCCTTGTATTTGTATATGGTCCATGTTAATTATGTTGATGCTTCCAGAACTATGATACCATCTGGATGGTTTTGCCAACTATTTTTGATGCTGACCCGGGATATGGGGTAATGCTATCCTCTTTGAATGATATGTCTATACGCTCTGGCAGTAAAACATGTCTGGCTGCAAAGTTCCCCATTTACCCTCTGGTAATCCAACAAATGGAACATACCCATTTGGTTCCATGTTTTTTCCCAGCTATAAACCCTTTATTTAGTATCATTCACTGGGGGATCTGCCAGCCAGCAACAAAAATGACACCGGGCTGGATGTTATTTTCCTATCCAAAACCAGGGGATTCCGTGAGAATTTTGGATCTTTTGGATGTAACTGAAAAGATTGACCTCAATCTCAGGCATCAAGTTTGGTCACTTATTTATTTATATATATAAATATTTTATTTCAGAGCCTGGCCCAACCGGAATCATCGCAACATCAGCCCGCCGGCATTGAGGCATGACTTCGTGAAGAACTCAAAGGACCGGAATGTGTACGGCCTGGATATGATTCCATGCGAAAATTGAGGGATGTCCAAAACCAAAAACTTTTGACTGGGATAAAACGATATAAAACAAATTCACTGAGATATACTATGATATACTTAGAATATAGAATCCAACAAATGCATGGTGAAGACTGAAACATACATAGAAAGGCTTTGCGTCCCAGATCTGTTTTGTGTGGTTCAATCAATATTTGGGTGAGTCTAGTCAATTTTCAAGTTTTGTTGAATCGCACTAATATTTGTTGGTCACTGTACTGCTCAAATCACCTCTTGCTCAAATCCACATTGTTTTCAGTTGAAATCTCTGAAATGTGGTAGACACGATGGCATAAACCATCCCCAATGACCAGAAAATAGGTTGTGGATGGTTGTAGTAAGCCTCCAAAATTGAAGTTTTATGGCATTGGTTTCTCTACTTTTCATTACCTTTGATACTTCGAATTCCCGCAAGAGACGCGTTTCGTGTCGCAGGTTGGCTCCGCCACTGGGTTCATGATGGTGGCTGGCAGCATGCTCGCTATTCCTCACAAGACCGGTGGATGGCTCGGTTGGATGGATGGATAGATATATGGGGTGTTGCATAAATGGTGGTACCCTAAAATGCATGGTTTGGAATGGTAAACGGATGTAAAGGGCTGATTTTGGTAGGAAACCTCCATATAAGCTAGATACATAGCATAATATACTAATGGAATGGATATAATACGATAAACCCGGTGCCATAAAAACCATCCCCAAGTCATCACCATTTTATGAGTGCTATGTTCACCATCCCCAGTCATGGTAGTTGTGGAAATGGCATGGTAGTTGAATCCCACAAGTTATTGGGGAATGAACATTATATAACTCATATTTAAGTGGTGGCTTCCTAAAATGCAGGATCCCGAAAAACGTGGTTTGATTTTCCTGGAAAATCCACCAACAAAAATATGATTTTCATGGAACATCCCATCAAAAAACTGGATGATTTGGGGATATCCCCATGACTTTGGACCCCCCCACCATGTCACATGGGTCGCCCCCAGGCACCAAGATGAAGATGCAGACGGCGCCACGTTTCAGTGGCGTCCGGAGGGCCCGGAGGGCCCTGGCGGAGCCCGGAGGACTTTCCCAGTAAAACCCATGGAAAAACCATGGACAACTTCCATTTATAACTGGTTGGTGGTTTGGAACATGAATTTTATTTTCCCATATATTGGGAATAATCATCCCAACTAATATGTTTCAGAGGGGTAGGCATACCACCAACCAGATAAGGGATGTCTAAGAGGATATCCTAATTATTGCCACGATCTCCGGAGGGCTATTTGTTGTATTGAAAAGTGGGATATGTATGGTATGGAAATGTTACAGTACTTTGTCGCTGGAGAAATAATCCAAAAAAATGTCATGCCCAAACTCCCAAACCCTCTCATACCTGAACCTACTGGTTGATTGATGTCGCGCAAAAGCGAAGCACCTGCCATTCTTGGCATTGTGGATCTGAGTGGAAATAAGGTGTTTCGGAATTGGTTTCAAATTGGGCAAACATCCATCCAATCTATGGGAAATTGCGACCCTAAAAGAGACCCAGATCTCTGTTTGATGGTTGGTTTCCTTGCTCCAGATGACTCATCGCCAAGGTCTCAGAGTATCAGGAGTGCTACAAGGAGGTACCCGCCAGGGGACAAAATTCCACACGTTGTGTTGGGACATTTACTACAACATAAAGTTTGGGAAAAATAGTATAAAGTTAAGTTAAGAAAGTACCATCCCCTCCATCAAGAGAACGACCCTCCTTAGCGAAGAGCTACAGCGGGAGGTGGTCTTCCATCGTATCCAGGTCCATTCCTATCCAGGATGATGATACCGACGTATGTATATGAAAAAGGCGGTTGAAACAACCAAGAAGTATAGTCATTATTATATGATTATATATTATATGTTGGGTTGCTTTATATCTATTGTATATATAATATCGATAATATGCTGGGTTGCTTTAGTGACCATTCTGATACTATTAGATCTATGTTATCACTGTTGGGTTGCTTCCCTAGTCCCCATGATGAGCCTTGCTTGGGCGGTGACCTGGTGGCTTCATTGGGCAAGGTCATGATTGGATCTTTGGTATGTCTCTGTAAAGGGAACTTGCCAAGGCCACGGTGAAATTATGGTGAAACTGGTGAAACTGGTGAAATTGAGACTATGGCATGATGAGGTTTGTATGTGTTCTTCCGCATTGGTCAAGAACACCCATGTAATAATGTACGGGTTTCAAAGAAGCATGAAAGGCCATTGTCCAACCCAATGTGACAGTCTAGGAATATCAAAACCAAAGGCTCCGTGCACACAAAGCATTTCAGACTGCGTTGTAGACATGGTGAGTAGATATGATATTAGGATATGACAGGAGGTTACCATTGGTTTTTTGGGATCCCATGGCATTAGCCAATGACTTCACCCAGCCCAGCGATGGCATTAGCCAATGACTTCACCCAGCCCAGCGCACCGCGGCACCGCGCAGATTCCGCACTGCTATGCATCGATGGATAGGCACAACCAGACGTGTGTCGCACGTTGCAGGTAGATTTCTGGTGATGACATCATCATCTTAGATTGCACAATTTGATAATGATAGGTTTGCATAGATTTGTGATATCCCTTTAGAATACCTCACAGCTCATGTTTGCTGGTTCCCTTATGTTCTGTGAGTGATATTGATGTGATAGCCCAAATTTTGCTCGTGGCTTGCCTTGTCGTTCCATTCCGCCTACTCAGATGATTCCTGAACGTGGTGGTTCGTCAATAGGTCAATGGAATGAATATGGAGTTATGTCCCATTCAATCCCAGCGCCACTTGGTTATAACATGTTATAACCCAGTTATGGGATATTTACTAGGAATTGGTACAACAACATATATATATATATATATGCTCGTTTTGCCGAAGGTAATACCTGTAAATGTGTAGAGAACGGCCGAAACGTGGCCATTTTGGGTCAAGCTCACTCGAACAGCCACCCCCTCTCCTTGATTTGTTTTAGGAAGAAAAATCTGTTCGAGGGTGGCCGGCATATTTATATATACATATACATATATATATATATGTTTTTATATATCCAAAAAAAAAACACAAAGTTTTGGGAGACCTACTTTGGGATGAGGGGAGAGGAGAAGGCTCTCCAATGCATTTTTGTTTGTTTATTTTGGTGTGTGTGTGTGTTGTTTTTTGCAGATAGCAAATAGCAGATGGTTGACCTTGCAATGAAACAGTCAATGAAATAGAAAAAAAGGTAGGTCCTGGTGGGGGGGGAGCATACATAGATATATATATATATACACATACATACTGGTTGGTGGTTTCAAACATTTTTTATTTTTCCAATTTTCCATATATTTGGAATTTCATCATCCCAACTGACGAGCTCATATTTTTCAGAGGGCTAGGTCAACCACCAACCAGTAAAAATCTTAGCTTATACCATCTAGACATATCCCATTGAATTAATATGAATATATTAAATCCCATTAAATCCCATAATATTATTTAATATATACCATCTGACAACCAGTAAAAATCTTAGCTTATACCCTCTCAGTCAACGTTTTCTGCATCCGACCAGACGTCAGGAAGCCGCTCATTGCGTACCATCCCAACGCCACGCGATCGCGCTTGGCCGAGGAGGCGAGGTGGCCCATGGGATGGGATCAGATGGGATACCCACTGGTAAACATCCAAAAACTATAGAAAGTCACCGTTTCGAATAGGTCAATCAACTATTTCTATGGGGTACAATTATACAATATACCCTCTGGTAATTTGTAACATAGCTATGGAAAATGGTTCATTGAAATAGATGTTCTACATATTAAAATGGTGGTTTTCAATAGCTATGTTAGTTTACCAGAGGGTAAATTATGGGATTTTTTAATGGGAATGAATGGGAATTGATTTGTTTATGGGATTTAGTGGGATTCGGATTGGGATTTCGGATTTAATAGGAGGATCCTTTGTTGATTTTCCTTTTAAGAAAGACGAACTTCCATAGCCACAGTCAATAACCAGAGGGTATGGCATGTCTGAACTTTCTTGTATGATAATATATATATATATATTATACATATATATATATATATTATACATATATATATATATATATATTAGATAGATATATAGATAGATAGATAGATAAGATAGATAGATAGATAGATAGATAGATAGATAGATAGATAGATAGATAGATAGCTAGCTAGCTAGCTAGATTAGATCGATCGATCGGATATATTAGATTAGATTAGATTAAATTAGATTAGATTAGATAGATAGATTAGATAGATTAGATAGATTAGATAGATTAGATAGATTAGATAGATTTGATAGATTAGGTAGATTAGGTAGATTAGGTAGATTAGGTAGATTGGATAGATTTGATAGATTAGATAGATTATGATTAGACATATTAGACAGATTAGATAGATAGATAATGATCGATAGATCGATAGATAGATAGATAGATAGAGAGATAGATAGATAGATAGATAGATAGATAGATAGATAAGTAGATAGATAGATAGATAGATAGATAGATAGATAGATAGATAGATAAATAGACAGATAGACAGATAGACAGATAGACAGATAGACAGATAGACAGATAGACAGATAGATAGACAGATAGACAGAGAGATGGATGGGATGGGATGGGATGGGATGGGATGGGATGGGATGGGGTAGGATAGATAGATAGATAGATAGATAGATAGATAGATAGATAGATAGATAGATAGATAGATAGATAGATAGATAGATAGATAGATAGATAGATAGATAGATAGTTATATTTAACCAAGAGATAAACCCGTTGGGTTTGGCTTGCTCACAACTTGAAGTCACTAGGATTATTACTGCCGTCCGGTGAAGTCAGTGGAAAAATGATGGACTCAGTCGATTTGAATTGGGGTACCCATTTTTCACACCCAAATTAGTAACGGTGGCAGTGCCAGTAGGGGTATTCAAGCCATTGCCATTGTATTCAACTTTTTGGGAAGGACTCCAAGGTGGTATTGCCATTGGTAAACATCATAAACCCTCCCGAATATGACCATAGGGTGGTGTAAACCCTCCACAATTAGAGGATCATCCCAAAGACGCCGTTCCAAGATGGCTCAGGATGCTCCAGTGCCTCTGAAGAATGCATCAACCATTGCCTTCCAGGACTGGTCTTCGGCGAAACTTGAGGTTTTTTTGCTACGTTTGGACAAGTTGAAGTGTCACATCCTCATTTTCTTGGCATAGAATGTTTCGTCAGGTCAGGGCAGTTTAAGCGTTAAATCATGTTAAATTATCTCAGTCTTGAGACCCCAATTTTACACAATGGATTTGAACCTGAACATTTTCACATGGAAGATCAGTGAGAAAAGAGCAGCAGGTCAAAATTTGGATAGAATTGGGGTGCTCGATTTTGAGTCACCTACAGCCCATCTTGCAACATTGGCCTGATATCACTACAACCAATCAAAGATCAAGAACCGTCCAAGAGCTACTGTATTGAAAAACAGCAGGGCACCTTAATTCATAATACGCACAACAGGGTTGCCTCAAACAATTCTGGTCAATTTTCACAGAGTCAGGACCGATTCTGTGTTCACAATCGTCGCTTTGCCCCTTGGTTTCGGGGATGGTTGGACTCCTGTCAAAGCCATGGTGCCATATGACTAGGGGAATACACATCCATGAACCAGCGATTTTCTTGGGTACCATCCGGGTGCCAGGGTTTTGACTCATAGCCATATCATCATCATCATCATCATCATCATCATCAGATCATGGTGCTGTCTTCTTCGTGCACGACACTCCTTGACCGAACCGACGTCCGTGGAAATCTCTGAGGTGACGACACACAAGAATTACTACACTGGGGAGATGCCAGACATGAGGACGTCGGAAACAGGGCTGGAGGATGAAGATTGGGGACGCAGCTCTTTTATGGTGGGGAACTTTCCCGGCAGAAATTTAAGGCTGCCTGGAAAATGATGTTCCTCTAGTAGAGTCAAAGTTTCTGCAAAAGTTTCCTCTCAGTTGTGCATAGGAATGAAATGCATGCGCAGTACAGATTGATCTCTGCTTGTTTGGAACTTGGAAAAATCTTGGACACCGCAAAAATGCAGAATTTTGCATACTGTTCCCAATGAAAACATCCCAACAAAATGTTTCGTTGCAAGATACTTGCCTATATTTATATGATGTTATATATGTTTCTTATGAAATATATTGAAATATAATGTTATATGTTATTGTTTCTTATATGGTGTATGTTACCTATATTTATATGATGCTTAATATGATGCTTAGCCACATGTTCTAGTGCTTCCAGTGCGCAGCAATGTCGCGCAGGAGTAATCCGGGGATGATTGCCGACTCGACCCGCTTGAAGCGAATGCTCCAAGCACGGGAGCTTGGGAGGCTTCAAGAAACGAGTTGGGTATGGATCAATACCTATTAATACCATTTTTAGGGGAATGAACATCCATTTACCAGCTATTTTGATGTGAACTACAGGGGTACAAGGTTTTGACACACTGCCAGTTGATCAGCTGGTGGTCTTCCACCCTCTGGTAGACATACAAAAAATGATGGAAAATCGCCAGTGTTTCCATGGGTAAATCAACTATTTCGACTGGGCCATGTTCAATATGAAACTGTTAGTTGACCAGGCCGGGTAAGTCATGGGTTTGACCCCAAGCCATGATCATCCAGAAATATCCGTTGATATCCAGAACCTAGAGATGTCAGTGGTCAGTTGATGTCAGTTGTAGTTTGGGTAAACCTTAAACCTTCACTTCACAAGAGATTTTAAAAGAGCGACATCATACTTCAAGTTCTTGGTCAGTTGTAGTTTGGGGGAAATGGTTAAAACGAATTGGTGCCCCGATGACTTGAGAAACAGCTACATGTGCACTACATGCCTCACAGGCATTTTCATGGCAAACATGTTTTCAGGAGGGTCCCTGGGGGTGCAGTTGGGCTTCTAAATGGGCATAACTATAGGGTTATAGGTATAATCACCACAACTGGTTGGTGGTTTGGAACATTTTTCATTTTTCCATATATTGGGAATTTCATCATCCCAACTGACGAGCTCCATCATTTTTCAGAGGGGTAGGTCAACCACCAACCAGATCGGGTTATAGGTATAATCACACACAAGTTGGGATATAACCCGTTCTGATGATTTCTGATGCTTTAAGTATAAAAGGAACATTTTTAGGAACTGGAACTGCCCATGGATTTCTGGATCACCAAAGCATCCAGCGCCATACGGGTGCCGCCTAAGGACAAGTGATGCTGGGGCCCCAAGTGGAATGATTTGGGCAAGATCCCTGTGGGGATGGGCTTACCTTACGCTCTGTCCTCATTATGAGGTGTTACCAATGTTACCATCTGGTTATTTAACGTAGCCATGGAAAATCCCTTATAAATGGAGGTTTAAAGGGAAAATCATCTATAAATGGGCCATTTTCCATAGCTATGTTAGTCGTTACCAGAGGGTAAGACAATCTCAAATTTATGTTGTTTTTTTAATGAAGCAAGTGGTTTAATCAGATACCAGTGTTTCATTGAGCTGGGCAACTCGATGAATGTCGATGATTTGTGCATCGAAAAGATGGTCCCCACTGTGGTTGTTTGAATATGGTCACATGCAAATGCTGTGCGTCATGATTCTTCTTCGGATGAGCAAAACCCAAGTGTTGTTCACCGAACACCTTCAAACTTGTCTAAAAAGGAAAGAAACTTTGACACCATGTTGGTTCTATGTCAAACCTTTCTTAGCTGCTGTTAGCCTTTTTATGCTTCTTTCCCTATCGATTGAGTAAACAAATGTGGATATGTCTTAAAATTGGGCACCCCAAATTCTCGCGGGTAATCATAATTTGCTCGTGGCAATTTACACACTAAATTGTCTGGGCATCCAGCACTTTGAGACACGCCAATGGGTCGAACAGAACTTATTATCCCCATCCCCAAAATCACGAATGAATGGCTGAATAGTATCAATTAGCCCCCAAAAAAGATAGAACAGTCATGAACAGAATAAAATCATGTAAATCCTATACCAAAATAGTGGCGTGTTTTCCTATTGGGGGTGGCTATCCAGAAATGGCCATGGATCCTCAAGCGTCCCAGGTGGAGCTGGGTGCTGAATGGCTTGGAATGACGAACTGTGGGACGTTTCTCCAGTTGTGCCAATGATATTGGAACACGCATGAACATGTATAAAATGTGGAATATGTATTTGAATGTTAATTGAGTGATGTAGGTATACATATTCCAAATGTATACCTAAACTTCCTTAGGTATGTAGGTATACAGTTGATGTTTAGGACTAAACTAGGTATGTTTAGGTGACTTGTTCTATCCCGTTTTGTCCACAAGGATCCAACATGGGAGCACAAAAGCCCTCTGGTAAACTAACGTAACTATGGAAAATCACCATTTTTAATGGGAAAATCACCATTTTTAATGGGAAAATCCACCATAAATATCCATAAATGGCCATGTTCAATAGCAAACTGTTAGTCATTACCAGAGGGTAGATCCTCAAACGAGGGGCCGAGTTGCTTCCACGGCGCCTGCCCTTTGCGGCCGGGTCTTCCGAATGGAGGTCCGGAGCGATTTCGGCACGGCAGATGGTGACAGGATCGAAGATCCCACTGGTGGTCAAAGACCAGATGACCTGCGTGGTGTCAGAGACCATGATTACCATGGAAATTCCATGGAAAATACCAGGGAATTTTATGAAAATTCCATGGAAAATGATGGTTTATGGTAATAATATGTTATCATATATTATCTGGTTGGTGGTTTGGAACATGAATGGATTATGACTTTCCCACCATATTGGGAATTTCATCATGCTCCCAACTGACGAACTCCATCATTTTTCAGAGGGGTAGGTCAACCACCAACCAGATATATCATATAGACATATCCCATTGAATTAATATGAATATATTCCATTAAATGCCATTAAATCCCAAAATATAATATAATATATAACGGTATCAACATTTGAATATGTGGAGGGCGGGCCAGACCGCGAGGCCCCGGAGGTAGTATGAAATACAAGTTCGTATGTTTAAATGTAGCTACCTATGTTTAAATGAATTGTATTCCGTGTGTTTAAATGGCTGGGCGGGCCAAGGAAAACCTTCCCGGAGGTAGTCTATTTTTTTTTCTGTTCGTATATTTAAAAGTCCGTATATTTAAATGTAGTTACCGTATATAGCATATTATGCACCATTATTCATCATTATTCATCACTATTGTGAATATATCATATCATATCGCCATCAATGTGAGGCCCCCAAGATAGCTAAGTTCGTTTATAACTCCAATAACTATGGTTTATGGTACTTATAACTATAGTTACTGGGGCTTATAAACCAACTTATAACTGGGGGGCCTCACATTGCATCAATATTACATCATTCTGAGCCAGCGGGAAAAGCTCCCCTTTTACAGATGAGGATTCCCGCGCAACATCCAAACTGAGTTCATGGTAAAATCTTCGCCAGAGTTTGAGCGGATGGTAGGTGGGACAGTAGAACTGAAACGGCAACAAAAAACTGTATGAATCTGTGATATAGCCAAACTGGTTGGTGGTGACTGGAACATTTGGATTCTTTTTCCCATCATATTGAGAATTTCATGATCCCAACTGACGAGCTCATATTTTTCAGAGGGGTTGAAACCACCAACCAGTAAAGATCGTTGAATCTGTGATGCCAAAGATATCCAAAGATTGTTTGATCAATGAGAGTAGTTTTGATCTTCCACTTCTACTCATACTTGAGAATCCAGAACATTCTGGAGAGAATTCCAAAAGAACCAAAAGCAAAGATCAAACTATGCAACTGTTACTCTGGAACTTCTTGTGAACAACATGTGTGTTGGATCTTGAAAAACGGATGCCGTGGGCAAATCGGGGACACAGAGCCTGGTTGCATACTTCATGTTAGCATCTTTTGAGATTAAAGCGATTTTTCCACCAATCAACACATGGTTTTTACATGGTTTTACGCGATTCCCTCTTCTCATCTTCCAGGGATTACTGTTCTTTCCAGGTCCTTGACCATCGAATCCTTTTTTTTTTCCGAAAAGCGTCGTGATCGGTGGGACCAGGCTGAGCAAAATCTTGATGTCGGTGATCGTTGTCGGAAGTTTGACCACATTTTTAGAGGCTCCCCCCTAGAAACACTGGTTCAGCAATGGATCTATGATGATCTATGGAATCTACCCTTTGGTAAACTAACATAACTATGGAAAATCACCATTTTCAATGGGTAAATCCACTATAAATGGCCATGTTCAATAGCTACGTTAAATTACCACAGGGTATGCATTGAGGGGGGTTCCTTCTTGGGTCAACCAATGTCAACCCAACCATTTTCATTGCTTTGGGTGATCAAGTTTCTGTGCGACTCCCTTTTAAGTGGGATCCAGATTAATAGGAACTTAAGGACATCCCCAATATGTCCCATTCAGATACAAAGTCGGAAGACACGTGCATTATTGTATTGGGGTTGCTTCTATCATTGTGAAGTGGGTGTTGACTCAGGCTTGAGGGCTCTATAGACCGCACTTCAAAGTGTGTTTGGAAGCAGCCATTAGACTAACTTTCAAGATGCATATACATTTGGGAATGGCTTAAACATGACGTGCCAGTGGACGGACAATTTTGGCAGTCTTAGTATTGAACCATCCATTTGTGCGTCTAATTTTGGAGCTGCATTGAGTAAGCAACGCCCGCTTCATATGACATTGGCTACAATATATTATTGGGGATTCAGCCAATAGTTCCAAAGATTTTTTCTGGGGGCTTAAAAGTTTCGACTATCGACCCTCGTTAAAACAGTGCCATCTGCGCTGTGGGTTTCCGTTCGCCAGAGACCGCTACCTTTCAGTTGGTTTGTGGCAAAAGGCAGCGGTATTACTGACCATATGGGGTCTGAAAATCCGGGATATTCACAAACAACCAGTATACAACCATTTTAATAGTGAAAATGATGATAATCCATTAGATTTGGGGGGCAAGCGATTTTCCGACAAAGCCGAGAGCGCAGCCACTGTCCACCGTGTCCCACGATCAAAGTCCTGGGTGATGCCGAAAGTGGTGATAGCAACCGGGGGAAGCCCATGATATCCCAATTGCATGGCGGGATATTATATTTATATATATATATATTGTATATGCAAGTATATATTTATATTATATTAGATGTAATGTCATATTATAAATTGTAACTATGTGTTTACTGATTTATGTATTGAATTCCTTTCTGACTCATATCATGCATACCGTGGGCATACCAGTACCGCACAAGGCGGAGAGGTGAGTTGTTGTGACGCATGGATGGCAGAGCGAGCCCCCTGATGGATCGAAAGGTGGTTGGGGCTCTGAGTCTCTCTCTCTCTCTCTCTCTGTCTCTCTCTCTCTCTCTCTCCCTATGTAGCTATCTATCTATCTATTTATCTATTTATATATCTACCTACCTACGTATCTAGCTGGATAGCAGCTATCTATCTACCTATCTATCTATCTATCTTTCTTTCTATCTATCTATCTATCTATCTGTCTATCTATCTATCTATCTATCTTTATGTCTATCTATCTATGTATCTTTCAATCTGTATTTCTATCTGAAAGGAAGCAATTAAGCGAGGCGTCTTTCAAAAGTGCAAGTTGGCAAGTCCAAAAAGAGCAATTTCTACGACGAGACTTCTTCAGAAAATAAAAGTCTTGAGCCCCCAAATCAAAAAAATCTGCGAGACAACATCCCTGCATTTCCGAACTTGACAGATTCAAGAACGAAGCAATTTGACGAGACCTCCTAGAAAATGGAAGGTTGAGCAGAGAGCCGATGGCCTCATACCCATTTGTTTTGTGATTTTTCCATCCAAATTCTCTAAAGTATTGCGCCTGCCAGGAAGAAATTGGGGGGAATCATACGAAGTGCTGCGCCTGTCACGCGAAATCATCTTAGCAAACCTGAAGGTCTGATGCTCCAAAATGTAGCCACTCTCAGGAAATCAGCACCCTGACTCAGGAAGTCAGCGCCCTGACTTCCTAACATGTCTGACTCGATCATGCGTCTCCTGTACTGCGCCTGCTACGCGAAAAGCATCTTTGCAGATCTTTGCAGAACCTCTTCAAATGCTCCTCGCTTGCCATCTTTTTCTGAAACGGCCGCAAGCCCCACAAGTTTTCTTCTGCATTTTTGGCAAGGTGCAGAACCCTTTGCGCCACACAAAACGACGCTTCAAAGTCCAAAAGTGGTCCAAACGTGTGGTAGTTTTACCATGTTTACTTGGCAATGTGTTTCGCGCCGCAACGGCATGCACTTTTTCAACATCCAAACCTCCAAAAGCGGTTCGAACATATGGTTCCTTTACCATTTTGACTTGGCAATGTGCTTCGCGCCACAATGGTATGCACTTTTTCAATATCTGAACTTCCAAAAGTGGTTCGAGCATCTCGTGTTTTTTGACTTGGAAATGTGCTTCGCGCCACAATGGCGTGCACTTTTTCAACATCCGAATCTCTAAAAGCGGTTCGAGCATCTCGTTTTTTTGTGACTTGGAAATGTGCTTCGCGCCGCAATGGCGGGCACTTTTTGAACAGCTCAACTTCCAAAAGTGCTCCGAGGAGCAGGAGGAGGAGGAGGAGGAGGTGTTTTGCCCATTTCGAGTCAACGCCGTGCACTTTTTGAACATCTTAACTTCCAAAAGAGCCGTGTTTGAACATGTTTTCACATTTTGACTTCGATTTGTGCTTCGCACCCCAGCCGCCTGCACTTTTCCCACCTCTCCACTGCCAAAATTTCCCCGGACGTCAAGTGTTTGTAGCATCTTGACTTCAAAATGCGCTTCGTGCCACAGTGGCTGCACTTTTTGATATCTCATCTGGCCAGATGGCTCCGCATCCGCCACTTTAGCGAACCTACTTTTAGATCCTCCGGAGCCACAAAACATTGGAACAAATCATTGATTTGCAATTTTTCCTGTGCGCACACGGAGATCTTCTTTCTTCTGATTCTTTCTCTGACCTATCTTCTTCTTTCTTTCTAGTCTTTGATTTTTCCCACTTCTATTGTTTTATTTGTCCATATTCTTGAGCTTGGAAATTTGATTTTTTAATTTCTTTTGATAATACAAAGAAATCATATATAATATACACTATACATATAATTATAATATAATACCTGATGTATATTTTACTA